GGTTTGTGGCCGTCGCTCAACTTGGATCTCCCAAACTACGGCTCACCCCGCAGGAAAAGCTTCCGAGGAAGTGTACACGATAGTTTGGCCAAGTAGTGGTAAAGATAATGAGTAGAAAAGAATGCCCGCCACTTAGAAAGGCCCATTGCAGCACGTTTTATAACTAAGGGCGCACTCAGAATTGCTTAGAAAGACTCGATTCTCCTAAGGCTCCTCCCCCAACAGCCATCCACCTTCAAATAGCGAGCAGGGGTCCCAACCATAGATTCAGTCTCCTCTCCAGTACTTACTTCACTTTCCCACCGTGTACCTCTCTCACTTCTACTGTCGGTCGTTACCGAATTATCGTGCCCACTTAAAGGGTTCAAAGGGTCTCGAATGAAAACGGAGTGTGTTCCACTACTGCGCTACGTAACTTACTATAGATCCAAAAAACCTCGAATGTCGAAAGTTATTAAGGCCATAAGCTAAGGCAAATGTTCCAAATGTGAGCAGTACTGAGAGCATGTAAACATCCGGTTTGAAGTGACACTGCAATCCGACGGCTTCACCACCTCGAGCCTCACAGTCTAGAAAATGAATACATTTCCTACATCAGAAAATATGGATCTATCTACTTATTTATATATATTTATTTAGTTTAACATTTAAAACTATCTTGTCCTCACCTTCAGCGGCCACATCCTTCAGTCGCATGATGACTGAGATGTTGAGCTTGGGGTCTGTCTGGTTCAGGTGACAAAAGCATGGCGACTCGTAGACTTCCTAAAAATCATAGTTTATGCAGCGTTCATTTTTTATGGGTACTGCGGAAAAGAAGAGTCAGTGCGCGTCGCTAAGGAAGGGGAGGGTCAATCGTTTTCACACCGTCTGCGTCCTCTCACGGTGTAGCGGTCAGTGGCGTTGGCTGATGACGGTGAGGGTAGACAAGCGCGGACCTGGCTTGAGCTTGCCAACATCCACCCTCCCAGCTCATCAACGTAGGAAAAAAGAAAACTTTTGAAGAATTGCAGAATAATGCTATGAGGAAACCCATCAGGGACTGTATTTAGTGGCTGGAGAGGGACTGTATTTGGTGTCGAGACAGAAGTTTTTTCGATTGTTCACTTTCCTTCATTGATACGTTCTACCTATACCTTTTCTCTCTACTCATATTTCTGCCCTCCCTTTTGGCTGCTAAATCATGGAAGTATTTGGTATGGTGGT